TATCGGATTGTAGCGTGTTAGTCTCCCTAGCTTTCTTATCGTATTTCCTCGTTGAGAGAACTAAGGCAGTTATCAGGTCAAGCGATAGTACCGAAGAAAGGAACGACGATCATATGTTATTATGTAGTAGAGCATACTTGAAAGCGTCCTGGACACAGCTACGTACTATTTCCTATTATGTCATGTGCACGCAGACGCAAGCATGTTAGCTAACTGAGGCCAATCGAGTATTAAGAGCTGATCTGTTTCATGATGGTCTCGCTCACTTTTTCAAAACGCGAGACACTAGCTTTGCCGTAATTTAGCAGTGAATCACAATATGAGTGAGTAATAAAGATTAAAAACAAACAGTAGCGGATAACAGATATAACAGCAAAAAGAACATCAAGACCAGGACTACACTAGCCAATAATACTTTCTGATCTAGCCTTGAAAGAGCAATGACCCTCAGTACTGATTCCGACATTTACTTCTGTTCCCACCACGTGCTTGCTCTGCCATCTAAGAGTCTCCTTGTACATGATTAGCCATGTTTTAGTTTCACCTATGAATCGTAAACTGAAATGTGAGCGAGTGAATAGCAGGTTTTGTCCGTAGATTTTTTGCACTCTCACTTTATTCCTTTGTGATGAGAAGTATGATTTGTGGCGTGTTACCAGATCGCGTACTGATATGGCCGAGCGGCTGAATGATCGGTGTATCTGATCATCTGACCATTTATCGTGTTGGAGTCAAGACAAAAATACTTCAGGTTATTGGTAATATTTCGCTGTACTGAAGAATAGGAACGAATATCTGTCTCGCGTATTATGAAAACCGCGGTATAAAAAAAAGTATTTAAAATAGATCCGATATACTAGATATAATTTTGGATTATAGTTGATTAATTGATAGACGATCGTTTGTATAATGACTATTTGCTATAAAAATATACTTACGTTAATAGAGTACAGTAATACTAAACTACGACTTCATTTACATGAGAGCCTCGTAAGAAGAGGATTTAGTTAGGAGGAGAGGTGTTTGGGGAAGAGGTTCTATATATCAAAGAATATCAGAAGAGAAAGTGGTGGGAGAGCATGTGAACTAGTGAGTAGATCTGAGATTATGTAAAAATCTGTAGACCATTGAGAGTTGCAATTATATCCACATATGAAGATGAGTAGATGATATAGTTCAATCATACTACATCATTATTTATGATATTACTGAGGTACTTATATAAGGTGTATGTATGAGATGCTTGATACGACGTCGCACTACTAAAATAAGAAAGGGGAAATATAAAAATTGGAAAAGATTAGAAAAACTGCTTACCCAAGCTTGTTAGGAAGGCTCAAAAAACTAGGTACGTTCTTTCTGACCAGTTGTTGGCCTTTTACCTTTCAATATTTGAACAATATATAAGGAAAATATACCATATAGACTATTTTTACAAATTTTCAACTATCTGCTTTTGCAATCACCGCACAAGACATTGCAAACATCAACCGTATCAGAGTAAAATACGTATCTAACTATGCATGTCTACCCTCGTTGCTGATAATCGACAGTCATGATGTTTCATATGTTAAGGATAGTTCCAAATTTGTAGTGGTTAAATTAAATTTAATAGTGGGTACAAAATAAAAAAAAATCCTGTATCATCATGCAATATCAAACACTATTTTTTATTTTATACAGTACTTTATTTGGCTAAGAGTTTACTACACTTCCATTAGGGTAAAATAACAAGGAATAAGCATTCACAATAATACAATAAGTTTAACAAATTATGTTTAATGAACTATAAGTTTAATTAAAATTCCATATTTAATCCTACTTTTAATGGGATGATTCACTTCTCCTTTGCTTTTTATAATTAAATCTATTCAGTCCCAAATTTGAAATTTCTACTACGTCCATAACATTTAATGCAGTTTATATTTGAATTATTGTTGTTTATCATTCAATATTACTTCGATAAAACACATTTATTTTTCAAATAGCCCCTCCCATCTTGAATGTTTTTACACTAATATAGCAAAACAACAAAGTCCATTTTAAGTGTCAATTCTTGTCCCTCTAAAGCAAAAATCGAAATATACATATAGTAGATATTTTGTGAAACGCAAAAACATACGAAACTATATTGTAAATTTTCAAATGATGATATATTTTAATTAAAAAATCCTCGTATTGAGCAATAACTATTGTTAAAAGTAAAGGGGCCGTTTGTTACTAGTTAGAAGGTGAAGTATTCAGATTACTTAAAACTTTGGTACCTTCATTGTTTAGGTGTTTAGCTAATTCTTCCGGAAGTAATAAACGTACGATGATTTTAAATATATATCGAAAGAAGGTTAATTTACAACGGATTAAATTCACTATTCCGAAAACCTTGAGTTTACAAGAAACTTCAGTCTTCCAGCCTGGAGATAAATCAGGTCGTGAAGTTGGAAATTATTTTTGATTTAGTCAGTCTAAATTTTGGCGGAGGCGTAAAAAACTATTGCCTTAAAAAAGTTGAGTGTTCCAGCCTGGAGATAAATCAGGTCGTGAAGTTGGAAATTATTTTTGATTTAGTTAGTCTAAATTTTGGCGGAGGCGTTAAAAACTATTGACTTAACAAAAAAGTTCAGTGTTCCAACCTGGAGATAAATCAGTTCGTGAAGTTAGAAATTATTTTTGGTTGTGACAGATTCTAAATATTGGCGAAGGTGCGTCCCGAATTTTTATTCAAGAACTATTGTAGAAGCATCAGAATAATTTTAACCCGGTATAATATTAACTTGGTATAAAAATCGACCTGATTCAGTCAATCGAGTGACCAGCTTGCATTTATTTATTTGTTAAAAAATAATTTGAAGTGGCTTAGTTTTTTGAGCTGTTAGTTTATTTGAATGTTTCTCACATAATCATAAAAATGTGGCTCTGAAAAGAACCGTTTGTTATATTTATAAGAAGAAATATTATAATTACTTAGAACTTGTATATTTAGTGACAGCTTTGGTACCTTCACTGACGGCGTGTTTGGCTAATTCTCCTGGAAGTAATAAACGTACGGCGGTTTGAATTTCCCTGCTAGTAATTGTTGACCGTTTATTATAATGAGCTAAACGGGAAGCTTCAGCAGCAATTCTTTCAAAAATATCATTTACAAAACTGTTCATGATACTCATAGCCTTACTGGAAATACCAGTATCAGGATGCACTTGTTTCAATACTTTATAGATGTAAATGGCATAACTTTCCTTCCTCTTACGCTTCTTCTTCTTATCGGCCTTGGAAATATTCTTCTGAGCTTTTCCTGCTTTTTTAGCAGCTTTACCACTAGTCTTAGGAGGCATTGCGAACACAGAAATTGACGTTTACTCGTTGAAAGTCGAACGAAAACTAGCCTGCGCAAAAGTTTTAGTTTGAGTTTTATAATACGTCAGACTAATGAGCGTAAGCCCCTCCCACCAGCGCTTGCCTGCATACCGATAGGTCTGAAAATCTGATTGGTCCAAGAAATAATATAAAAATGGCCAAAAAATATAGAAATTAGTCAGTATTCACTTGACATCCAAGGGAAATTAACGCAAGTAGCAATATCAAACATGTCAGGACGTGGTAAAGGAGGCAAAGTTAAGGGAAAAGCAAAGTCCCGATCAAATCGTGCTGGTTTACAGTTTCCAGTAGGTCGTATTCATCGTCTATTGAGGAAAGGAAATTATGCCGAGAGAGTTGGTGCTGGAGCTCCTGTATACTTGGCTGCTGTTATGGAATATCTAGCTGCTGAAGTTTTGGAATTGGCAGGAAACGCAGCGAGAGATAACAAAAAGACCCGTATAATTCCTAGACATTTACAGTTAGCTATAAGAAATGACGAGGAATTAAACAAATTGCTTTCAGGAGTTACCATCGCCCAAGGTGGAGTATTGCCCAATATACAAGCAGTATTATTACCCAAGAAGACAGAAAAGAAAGCTTAAGAGCTATACCATTTTCCCTTTTTATACAACCCGGCCCTTTTCAGGGCCACATAATATTTCACGTGTGAGTTTAAAGTACTCAATTCGGTATCGTTGTTTTAAGAAGTAGATTATATACGTTTGCTGAATTATACGATTTGATTGTAACGAGCAATGGGCATACGTATGTACATATATTTCTGGTAGATTTTGAAACAATACTTATGCATTTTTATGAAATAATTTCTATTCATCATTAAACAGTATAGAACGAACATTCATGAAAACTTTCCGTATAAGACGGTATTTATAGCTAGAAGTGGCACATTGGTTTTTTCAATCGATGGGGAGTATATTTAGGGATACTATACGGGAGACACTACCAAGTTTTATTGGAACTTTATTATAAAAATTGTGGGTATCGGACACGTATGTGCATGAATTTCTATGCATTAAAATTGTTTTAAGAATGATAGTAAATAATAAAATTCTATACATTAGTAATAAATTGTGGTTCTAAAAAGAACCGTTGTTTTAATAATCGTATTCATAGCAATTAACCACCAAAACCATATAACGTACGACCTTGGCGTTTAAGTGCATATACAACATCCATAGCAGTTACAGTTTTCCTTTTGGCGTGCTCAGTATAGGTAACTGCATCTCTAATGACGTTCTCCAAAAATACTTTTAATACACCTCTCGTTTCCTCGTAGATTAAACCAGAAATACGTTTTACTCCTCCGCGACGAGCTAATCTTCTGATAGCAGGCTTGGTAATACCTTGGATGTTATCACGCAAAACTTTACGATGACGTTTAGCGCCACCTTTTCCCAAACCTTTACCACCTTTTCCACGTCCAGTCATTTTTACGGTAAAATTACTTTTGACTTTCTATAATCTGTGCCTAATGTTTTATACCCGCAAATTCAGTCATTGACATGCCTCCAAATTGAAAACCGACCAATAAAAATTAAGATTGCCCCTCCCTTATATCGCCACATGTAATGTATATATAACTGAAAAAGCCATAGTAAAATGAGTTCTATCGGCACGCAGAAATAATGGCGCGTACAAAGCAAACAGCCCGAAAATCTACTGGTGGTAAAGCACCACGTAAACAGTTAGCAACCAAAGCTGCTCGTAAGAGTGCACCGGCCACTGGAGGAGTTAAAAAACCTCATCGTTACAGGCCAGGTACCGTAGCTCTTCGTGAAATTAGACGTTACCAGAAAAGTACTGAACTACTTATCAGAAAACTACCTTTCCAACGTCTTGTTCGTGAAATCGCGCAAGATTTTAAAACGGACTTACGTTTTCAGAGTTCGGCAGTTATGGCTTTACAGGAAGCGAGTGAAGCATATTTGGTAGGTTTGTTTGAAGATACCAATTTATGTGCTATTCACGCTAAGAGAGTCACTATTATGCCAAAGGACATTCAGCTAGCCAGGAGAATCAGAGGAGAAAGGGCGTAAACAAATAAAATATATTACAAAACGGTTCTTTTCAGAACCACAAATATCTGAGTGTGTAAGGTTATTTCTTTTAAAAGCACTCTTATTCACTTCCACTTAACGTAATTAACTTTTCAAGGAATTTATATATGATTTATTTTGTTATATTTTCGGTAAAATTAGGTCTTGATCGGGGATATGAACTTTCATACATAAATAGATATAATTTGTGGCGCTGAAAAGGTCATCTGATTTTAAATATTCAAAGATATTAGTCCAATTACTTCTTTAATATTTAGAATATCTTTTTCACATCTAGAATACTTAATTATATGTTTAATGTTCGAAGTTGATATAATGAGAAGATAGCATAAGTTTAATTTCAAGTAAGACGAAGGTGAAGAAGATTTAAAAAGCATAACTGTCCTAAATCGTTTGTATAATTTGGTCACCTAATTCATTTTGATATCAATTTGTTTCATTTATAATCGGCAACGGCCATACCACACTGAATATACCGGTTCTCGTCCGATCACCGAAGTCAAGCAGTGTCGGGTGCGGTTAGTACTTGGATGGGTGACCGCTTGGGAACACCGCATGTTGTTGCCTTCCTTTTTTTCTTTTTTTAATTTTTGATATTAATTATAAAAAAATCCATTATTCAAAAAGCGATCGCCTTACACGTTTTACTGAATTTATTGCGCCATAACCGTGCGAATGGTATGATATACTAGTATGTATGTAGTGCATAAAATGTTAACGGTTTTCGAAATATTGAATTAAATATCCGTTCTAAAAAGATCGGCTTTAGTTTTCCCTTCGTATGACTCCAAGCTCAAACCCTATTAAATTCAAAAATATCAAAACATATTAAATTGTACTAGATTATAAAAATATAAGCGCCATCTGTTCGTGTTTATTGTGAATTACTGTTGTAATACTTTCAGTCGTACTTCACACACTTTTGGATAGGTGGCACACTTTGGAACTCTTCAATCTAAAATATAAAAGGTATATAATAATTACTAAATTTCCTATTTTTGATATTATTAATATTAATAAATACTGAATTTAGTACAATTAAATATAATACAACACAATTATATGTACATAGAAAATACAACCAAATACAGTTAAATGATTAGTTTACAATAAGTAGATAGCTTGATGACTTGTTTTACTCTTCAGGCTGGAACACTGAAAGTTTTTGTAAAGTGAACGGATTTCAAAATATTAAATATAATGAATAGACTCCCGCGAGTAATTATATAAACTTAATATTAGGTTGGTGGATGGAATAGCCCGAGTAATGATATTAATTTAATGTCATCAAGGCAAATGGCGGTAGTAGATGATATTAACTTAATGGCCTGCCCTGGCAAATGGCGCGATTAGATTCTATTAACCTATATGAGGTTGGTGTATGGAATAGCCCGAGTAATGATATTAATTTAATGTCATCAAGGCAAATGGCGGTAGTAGATGATATTAACTTAATTGCATGCCCTGGCAAATGGCGCGATTAGATTCTATTAACCTATATGAGGTTGGTGTGTGGAATAGCCCGAGTAATGATATTAATATTTTAAAAACTGTATATTGGCATCCATTTTGGTCCGAGAGTCAAGCGAGTGGACATTTCTTACATAAAATTGACCGCTCGTTCTTATGCGATGCTCAGAATTTTTCTACATCCAACGGTTCGTGAGAAAAATTTTCGTTTGGAGGTCTTTATATCGGATGAAAAACTTGAGTCGATTTTTTCTCTTTTCCGGCAATTTAGGGTTAGCAGATCAGACTTATACACATTTTTGTAATAATCTGGACCCAATGCATGCACCAAAGCAAAAAAAAAAATTTTTTTTTTTTATAAAAATTTGGAAAAAATGAACAAAGGGGGTACCCTTGGATTTTTTTCGAATTTCGTTATTCGGCTATATTGGCGTCAATTTTCGTCCTAGAGTCAAGCGGGTAGACATTTCTTACATAAAATTGACCGCTCGTTCTTATGCGATGCTCAGAATTTTTCTACATCCAACGGTTCGTGAGAAAAATTTTCGTTTGGAGGTCTGTATATCGGATGAAAAACTTGAGTCGATTTTTTCTCTTTTCCGGCAATTTAGGGTTAGCAGATCAGACTTATACACATTTTTGTAATAATCTGGACCCAATGCATGCACCAAAGCAAAAAAAAAAATTTTTTTTTTTTATAAAAATTTGGAAAAAATGAACAAAGGGGGTACCCTTGGATTTTTTTCGAATTTCGTTATTCGGCTATATTGGCGTCAATTTTTGTCCTAGAGTCAAGCGGGTAGACATTTCTTACATAAAATTGACCGCTCGTTCTTATGCGATGCTCAGAATTTTTCTACATCCAACGGTTCGTGAGAAAAATTTTCGTTTGGAGGTCTGTATATCGGATGAAAAACTTGAGTCGATTTTTTCTCTTTTCCGGCAATTTAGGGTTAGCAGATCAGACTTATACACATTTTTGTAATAATCTGGACCCAATGCATGCACCAAAGCAAAAAAAAAATTTTTTTTTTTTTATAAAAATTTGGAAAAAATGAACAAAGGGGGTACCCTTGGTTTTTTTTCGAATTTCGTTTTTCGGCTATATTGGCGTCAATTTTCGTCCTAGAGTCAAGCGGGTAGACATTTCTTACATAAAATTGACCGCTCGTTCTTATGCGATGCTCAGAATTTTTTCTACATCCAACGGTTCGTGAGAAAAATTTTCGTTTGGAGGTCTTTATATCGGATGAAAAACTTGAGTCGATTTTTTCTCTTTTCCGGCAATTTAGGGTTAGCAGATAAGACTTATACACATTTTTGTAATAATCTGGACCCAATGCATGCACCAAAGCATAAAAAAAAATTTTTTTTTTATAAAAATTTGGAAAAAAATGAACAAAGGGGGTACCCTTGGATTTTTTTCGAATTTCGTTATTCGGCTATATTGGCGTCAATTTTCGTCCTAGAGTCAAGCGGGTAGACATTTCTTACATAAAATTGACCGCTCGTTCTTATGCGATGCTCAGAATTTTTCTACATCCAACGGTTCGTGAGAAAAATTTTCGTTTGGAGGTCTTTATATCGGATGAAAAACTTGAGTCGATTTTTTCTCTTTTCCGGCAATTTAGGGTTAGCAGATAAGACTTATACACATTTTTGTAATAATCTGGACCCAATGCATGCACCAAAGCAAAAAAAAAAATTTTTTTTTTTATAAAAATTTGGAAAAAATGAACAAAGGGGGTACCCTTGGATTTTTTTCGAATTTCGTTATTCGGCTATATTGGCGTCAATTTTCGTCCTAGAGTCAAGCGGGTAGACATTTCTTACATAAAATTGACCGCTCGTTCTTATGCGATGCTCAGAATTTTTCTACATCCAACGGTTCGTGAGAAAAATTTTCGTTTGGAGGTCTGTATATCGGATGAAAAACTTGAGTCGATTTTTTCTCTTTTCCGGCAATTTAGGGTTAGCAGATCAGACTTATACACATTTTTGTAATAATCTGGACCCAATGCATGCACCAAAGCAAAAAAAAAATTTTTTTTTTTTTTATAAAAATTTGGAAAAAATGAACAAAGGGGGTACCCTTGGATTTTTTTCGAATTTCGTTATTCGGCTATATTGGCGTCAATTTTCGTCCTAGAGTCAAGCGGGTAGACATTTCTTACATAAAATTGACCGCTCGTTCTTATGCGATGCTCAGAATTTTTCTACATCCAACGGTTCGTGAGAAAAATTTTCGTTTGGAGGTCTTTATATCGGATGAAAAACTTGAGTCGATTTTTTCTCTTTTCCGGCAATTTAGGGTTAGCAGATCAGACTTATACACATTTTTGTAATAATCTGGACCCAATGCATGCACCAAAGCAAAAAAAAAATTTTTTTTTTTTATAAAAATTTGGAAAAAATGAACAAAGGGGGTACCCTTGGATTTTTTTCGAATTTCGTTATTCGGCTATATTGGCGTCAATTTTCGTCCTAGAGTCAAGCGGGTAGACATTTCTTACATAAAATTGACCGCTCGTTCTTTTGCGATGCTCAGAATTTTTCTACATCTAACGGTTCGTGAGAAAAATTTTCGTTTGGAGGTCTTTATATCGGATGAAAAACTTGAGTCGACTTTTTCTCTTTTCCGGCAATTTAGGGTTAGCAGATCAGACTTATACACATTTTTTGTAATAATCTGGACCCAATGCATGCACCAAAGCAAAAAAAAAAAATTTTTTTTTTTATAAAAATTTGGAAAAAATGAACAAAGGGGGTACCCTTGGATTTTTTTCGAATTTCGTTATTCGGCTATATTGGCGTCAATTTTCGTCCTAGAGTCAAGCGGGTAGACATTTCTTACATAAAATTGACCGCTCGTTCTTATGCGATGCTCAGAATTTTTCTACATCCAACGGTTCGTGAGAAAAATTTTCGTTTGGAGGTCTTTATATCGGATGAAAAACTTGAGTCGATTTTTTCTCTTTTCCGGCAATTTAGGGTTAGCAGATAAGACTTATACACATTTTTGTAATAATCTGGACCCAATGCATGCACCAAAGCATAAAAAAAAATTTTTTTTTTATATAAAAATTTGGAAAAAATGAACAAAGGGGGTACCCTTGGATTTTTTCGAATTTCGTTATTCGGCTATATTGGCGTCAATTTTCGTCCTAGAGTCAAGCGGGTAGACATTTCTTACATAAAATTGACCGCTCGTTCTTATGCGATGCTCAGAATTTTTCTACATCCAACGGTTCGTGAGAAAAATTTTCGTTTGGAGGTCTTTATATCGGATGAAAAACTTGAGTCGATTTTTTCTCTTTTCCGGCAATTTAGGGTTAGCAGATAAGACTTATACACATTTTTGTAATAATCTGGACCCAATGCATGCACCAAAGCATAAAAAAAAATTTTTTTTTTATATAAAAATTTGGAAAAAATGAACAAAGGGGGTACCCTTGGATTTTTTTCGAATTTCGTTATTCGGCTATATTGGCGTCAATTTTCGTCCTAGAGTCAAGCGGGTAGACATTTCTTACATAAAATTGACCGCTCGTTCTTATGCGATGCTCAGAATTTTTCTACATCCAACGGTTCGTGAGAAAAATTTTCGTTTGGAGGTCTTTATATCGGATGAAAAACTTGAGTCGATTTTTTCTCTTTTCCGGCAATTTAGGGTTAGCAGATCAGACTTATACACATTTTTGTAATAATCTGGACCCAATGCATGCACCAAAGCATAAAAAAAAATTTTTTTTTTATATAAAAATTTGGAAAAAATGAACAAAGGGGGTACCCTTGGATTTTTTTCGAATTTCGTTATTCGGCTATATTGGCGTCAATTTTCGTCCTAGAGTCAAGCGGGTAGACATTTCTTACATAAAATTGACCGCTCGTTCTTATGCGATGCTCAGAATTTTTTCTACATCCAACGGTTCGTGAGAAAAATTTTCGTTTGGAGGTCTTTATATCGGATGAAAAACTTGAGTCGATTTTTTCTCTTTTCCGGCAATTTAGGGTTAGCAGATAAGACTTATACACATTTTTGTAATAATCTGGACCCAATGCATGCACCAAAGCATAAAAAAAAATTTTTTTTTTATATAAAAATTTGGAAAAAATGAACAAAGGGGGTACCCTTGGATTTTTTTCGAATTTCGTTATTCGGCTATATTGGCGTCAATTTTCGTCCTAGAGTCAAGCGGGTAGACATTTCTTACATAAAATTGACCGCTCGTTCTTATGCGATGCTCAGAATTTTTCTACATCCAACGGTTCGTGAGAAAAATTTTCGTTTGGAGGTCTATATGTGCTGAAAAAGTGGAGAATTTTTAATTAAATTTTTTTTTCTCTTTCCGGACTTTTTTTTTAAAATCTAAAAAATTTACTACGGTTGGATAGACAATAAAATTACCTTTCCAACGATGTAACCCAATATAAAATCGGGTATCCGTTACGAATTTACAGTACATAAAAGAAACATAAAAAATCACCAATTTGAAAACCGATTGCTTTAGAGAAATTTTTTAAGGAAAAACAAAAACTTTTACCACGGTTGAACAGACAATTAAAAGACCTTTCCAATGGTTGTAATAGCAACATACACATAGAGTTACATGTACCGAAATACAGGTCAGCAAATGTGAGTTAAAATTTTTTACCCTGATCGCAATTAAAAATCGTAAAATCGTTTTTTTTCGGAAAATCTGTAAAATTTTTACTACGGTTGGATAGACAATAAAATTACCTTTCCAACGATGTAACTCAATCTAAAATCGTGTATCATACGATTTACAGTGCATAAAAACAAACATAAAAATTCCCAATTTGAAAACCGATTGAAAAAATAAAATCGGTATCTCGGAAACCACTGTACCGATTTGAATAAT